CCATGTTTGGGCCACCAGCCATCGGCAGCATGAAGGCGAAGGAGGAGGCGAACGTCACGACGAGGAGGAACTGCGCGGGATTGTATCCCTTGAGCTGGGCTGTTGCCGCGATGATCGAGCCAAAAATCGACAGGGTAGCCATGTTGGACACCACCTCGGTGACGAAGCAGATGACCGAGGCCACCATCAGCAGAAAGGCCGTCTCGCCGGTCTGGACCGCGCCCAGGTTCTCGGCGACCCAGGCAGCAAGTCCGGACTGGACGGTGCCGTGTGCGATCGCCGCGCCTCCCCCGAAGACGAACAGGATCTCCCACTGGAAGCTGCCCTTCACCATGTCCCAGTCGAGGATGCGGCGGGCCCGCTGCTCGCCCTCCTGGGGGGGCGCTCGGGAGAGGCAGCGATCCTCCCCGACGAGCCGGCGCCAAGACGCCGGCAGCCGCGAGCCGCAGGGCAGGAAGAACAGAGGCAGTGTCAGTGCGAGACCTATGGAGCCGCTGTTGAGCTCGCTGGCGACGTACTGCTTCCAACCAGGGAAGCTGCCGATGGGAGAGGCGGTGAACCAAAGCACGATGAGGACCAGGAGGTCCGCTGCCACCACCATCTGATCGAAAGTCACTTTGCCGAGCTCCTTCTGCATGCTGCGGAACACCTCCCGGTCTATGGGGATGCGCTCCTTTGCACCCCACACGAATACGGCGCAGAAGCCGATCCAGACGATCGTCAGCAACACGAAAGAGAGGGGGAGGGCGCAGAGGAAAAACTTCGCGAAGGAGAACTCGCCCTCTGAAGGCCAGAAGATCTCGAACTGTTCCATGAAGATACCATTGGTGGGGGTCCCCACAGGGGTGGCGATGCCGCCGATGGTCGCGCTGTAGCCCATTGCCAGCAAGAACGCGCCCTGAAATGCCTCGTGACCCGCAGGCATGGTGTCCAGGAATCCCCGTGCCACTGGGAGCATGCAGAGGATCGTCGCTGTGTTTGAAATCCACATGCTCAACAACCACACGCTGACCATAAAACCCGCAATCAAAAACTCGATCCGCGATCCGGCTCGACTCACGATGCAGCAGGCGAAGTGCGAATGCAGGCCCCAGCGCTCGATGGCCAGACCGATGAAGAAGCCAGCCACGAAAAGGAACGACGTGCCACTGAAATAGCGGCTTGCGAGCTCGCTCATCTTCACGACCCCGAGCAGCGGGTACAGGACCAGGGGCAGGAGGCTGGAGATGGTCAGAGGAACGATCTCCGTAAACCACCAGAGGGCCGTGATCAGGAGCACGGCCGCGGCCTTCGAGGCATCGGGCCGGTCCGGGTCCAGGTCGATGGACAGGAACAGCGCCAGGAGGAGCGCCGAGAGAACCAGGACGCCGGCCTCGAAGCGCGCCGACCTCTCGGGCCGCGTGCCGCCCTTGGCCTCGGCGGCGTCGCAGGCGCTGGAGGTGGCCTCGGAGCTGCTGCCAGCCCGCGGCTCCTGGGCGGCGGCTGCGGCGGCGGGGCTGGGACAGCACTGCGCCTGCGCCTCTGCGTCGAACTCCATGCTGCCACCAGCAGCGACCGCCCGCGGCGACGTCACACTCAGCAGCGTGGGGGTCTCCATGGCGCAGCGCTGCCAACGGCCAGTGCCCACGGGAGATGCGGCCAGATTTTGAGCACGACGAGCCCCTCGGTGGACGCGCGGGGTAACACGCCCGCTGCTCGGGCCCACTGGACAGGCCCGACTTTTTTAAAGCCAGGGGGGGGGGGGCTCGCCAGCACGCCGTCGTGCCGCGGCTGCCGCGGGCCGCAGCCAGCGGCGGGGGCCCGCGCTCCACGGGGGACCCCCCCAGCTCGGCGAGCGAGGCCGCTCCTCGTCGCCGCCGCCGCCACCGTCGTTCGCGTCGCTGCGCCGGCACGCTCGCAGGAGAGCCCAGAATGGGATCCACAGGTCGGATCGGCGATCGACACGGATCGGAGTGCTGGAAGAATCGGCAGCCAAGACGGGAGAAGTCGAATCAGCGGGGATCGGCAGGCTGGTGAGGCCTCCATTGAGAAATCGAAATCCACATCGAAATCTGATATCGAAACGAATCGGAATCGGGATCAGAATCGAAATCGAATCGAAGTGAGCCCTGTGGTTCGTTCGTCCGTCGTCGTGTCGCTCGTCGCCGTCGCCGTCGCCTGACCGTATCCTCTCTCTGCCAGGACACTGGGCCACCATCCGCGGGCGCTCGCGAGGCCGACCTGGAATCCTAGGATCCCTCTACTCCTCCTCCTCCTCCTCCTCCTCCTCCTCCTCCTCCTCCTCCTCCTCCTCCTCCTCATCATCATCATCATCATCATCATCATCATCATCATCATCATCATCATCATCATCATCATCATCATCATCATCATCATCATCAGCATGATGATCAGCATCATCATCATTATCATCATCATCATCATCATCATCATCATCATCATCATCATCATCATCATCATCATCATCATCATCATCATCATCATCATCATCATCATCATCATCATCATCATCCTCGCCCTTACTTCTCCGCTTCATTCTCTCTCCCACCCGTTTTCCTTAGAACTACGGTCGGGAACTTTTCAATAGCGTGTCGCCACGGCGGCCACGGCGACACGCCATGCCTTGCGAGTGGATAGCGTGTCGCTCCGCTTCGAGGGGTGGGGGTTCGGTAAGCGCTCGGGACGTTGACGCTGGGGGGCCAGGAAGTGGATAGCGTGTCGCGCCGAAGCGTGGTAGGCCAGAACTGGCGGAACGACACGCCATCCCAAAATTCCCGACCGTAACTCTTCCCTGTCGCGACCCCAGACGTGTCGGTAGGACAGGCTGGGCGTTTCGCCTGAGACTTCCTCACCACTTCCTATCCTGAAGCTTGAAACTTGCTAAAGTTACACGAATGGAAGGCAGGTCCTTGTCAAAATGGGAATATCGCCTGAGCGCCGCGCGCGTTCGTCTTCAATCTTAATAACTGCCACAAGAACAGAGCACAAGCTACTTTCATAATGAGGTGATCTGCTTCACCCTTGTCGCTGCGCACATTCGTCTTCCAAGTTTGCAACAGTAACAATGATGGAGCACATGCCGTTTTCAGAATGGGGCTCTCGCGTAGACGCCGCGCATGTTCGTCTTCAAGGGTCACATCCGACTCACTAGCTTGCAACAAATATGAGGATAGGGGGACAGCTCATGCTCAAAACGGGCATTCGCTCGAGGCTTCCGCAAGCGTCGCAGAAATACGTTTCAACATAGGTGCAAGCTGCACGGACGGGAAGCAGTTCCTTTCCACGGTGGGGCTCCTGCTTGGAGACTTCCTCGAAACTTCTAGCCACGGGGAGGAGCTTGTGCTACAAATTTACACCTGCGGGGGCGGTCCTCCTCTATAGCGAGGGTATCGCTGGACACCTCGCTGAACAGTGTGGTTCTACCTTTTCGCACTCCTGGCCACGCGCTGCAAGGCTGCAAGGCAAGTCGTCTTCAAACTGGCCTGTCGCCTCAGGCAGGCCCACAGGGAGTTCGTCTGTCGGGGGGCGCTTCCTGTCTTGAAAGAAAGCGTGCATAGACGAGCACGTCCCACTGCTCGCACAGTAACTGTTCGTAAATGGCCTGGATCCGCCGCGGGGGATCTACGATAAATCTCATCGAAGCAAGCATCTGTGTTTTTTCTGGCGTTTGCGAATAGGCACTTTGCGAGTAGTGGAACGTGCTTGGTGAGTGCAGGTACTTCTGAGACGGGGTCTTGAGACGCGAGGTTGTATTACAGAATCGATAATGCATCTTGGCATCACCCTGCTTTTCAACGCGCCACCCCTGACCCCCGATCATGTTGGTTGGCATCGCCAGCGGGGGCCAGGATTCCGGCCAGTCGACAGATCGACTCCTCGCGGCGCAGCCCGCCAATATCACGGTGGGGGCGTGAGGGGCGCCCACGAGAAGCAGCATGAACAAGTGCAGGATGTTGCCTATCGACAGCCCCTCCTCCTCCTCCGAGGTGCCTGGACCTCGCCGAGCCGAAGGATTTGACCGAGTCGCCAGATGAGGGGTCTCGGGGTTTCTGGGGCCGGGGAGGGCAGCTCGCCCGAAGTCCTTGGTGCTCTAGAGGCTTCCGCCAAGCGTGAGCAAGGGCTGTGCCAGCTTGAATTGGCTGGGGGGGACCTTCCCTGGGTGAATAACCAGGGCGAGGCTTCGACGCGTGCTCCGTCCTCCGTTGGAGGGTCGGATTCAGACGCGTCCGACTTTGCGTGATCGTGGGCTGCTCGGCCTCGGGCCCGTTCCGGAAAACCTCCTCCTCCTCCTTTAACCTCCTGGTTATCTTCCCTACTCCTTCTCCTCCTCCTTCTCCGCCTCCTCCTCCTCTTCCTCCTCCTTCTCCTTTGGGCTGCGGGCTCCCTTGGATGCCCGCAGACCCCCAGCAGAGCTAAGCTGACTGAGTCACTCGAGGCCCTCGATTGACCGACCGATCGACGACCTCCTCCTCCTCCTCCTCCTCCTCCTCCTCCTCCTCCTCCTCCTCCTCCTCCTCCTCCTGCGCTACCACTTGAGGCGCAATAGGAGGTCCTAGCGATGCGAGCGGCCCCTGACCCCAGGACCTGCTCCATCCGCACTGCCAGCCTCACGCTGGTTTCCTCCTCTTCCTCATCCTCCTCCTCCGTTTGAAAGAGTTTGCAGCAGGTACAAGGATGGAGGGCGAGTCCTTTCCAAAAGGGGGTTCTCGCCCTGGCGCCGCGCACACTCGTCTCGATCGCTTGCAGCAGCTGCGAGGAGGGGAGGCAGCTCGTGGCCAAAATCGGGCACACGCTTTGGACTGCCTCGAGCGTGTCAAAAGGAAACGTCAGCACACGCGGCGGCAGGTCCACGGGTGGAAGAGAGCGGTTCCTCTCCACAGCGGGGCTCTCGCTTGAACTGTCCTCTCCGAAGTGGGGCTCCTCCTCCTCCTCCTCCTCCTCCTCCTCCTCCTCCGCCTCCTCCGCCTCCTCCGCCTCCTCCTCCTCCTCCTCCTCCTCCTCCTCCTCCTCCTCCTCCTCCTCCTCCCTCCTCCTCCTCCTCCTCCTCCTCCTCCTCCTCCTCCTCCTCCGCCTCCTCCTCCTCCTCCTCCTCCTCCTCCTCCTCCTCCTCCTCCTCCTCCTCCTCCTCCTCCTCCTCCTCCTCCTCCTCCTCCTCCTCCTCCTCCTCCTCCTCCTCCTCCTCCTCCTCCTCCTCCTCTCAAGCCCTTCTGGCCCAAGTTTCTGCTGAGCCAGATCACCTTGTGCTGTTACCATTTGTGTGCTGGCTTGAGAGCCTCCGTCTGGAGGTTAAAGCAAGGTCTCACGATTCCTTCACCACCTCAGCCATGGCGCCTGCTTCCAGTGCTGTGGCTCCTTGGAGGTGCTCTGCAGCTGCTCCTGCTGACGACGACGCCGCTTGGACCGCATTCTCGGCTAACGGGAAGACGTGGACATGTGGCAGTTGCGGTTGCAAGCGTAACAAACGGTCGTGGTGGTTCTGCAAGCATTGCAAGAAGTACCGTGCTTCATCCGACCCCGGCACGTATGCCCCCCCCTCGTGGGGAGGCAGTTGGCACTCGGGCGGGGCGGGAGGACACAGCGGCTGGCCTGGCCTTCCGCTACGCACTGGACCTCAGTTCGACTCGAATGCAGGTCGTGTCGGCGGCGGAGGCGGTGCTGGCCACGGCTGGGGTGCGCCTCAGCCCGTTGATCACGGCAACACCTCCATTCCCGAGTTGGAGAATTTGGTGGATATGCTCACGAAGTGCGGTGACACGATGGGGGCGAGGAAGCACCAGTCCATCCTGCACCAGAAGCGCCGTGCTGCCGCAGCCCCCGCTGTTCCGCTGCAGGCCAAGGTCAACAAGGCGTTCCATGACCTTCGCCAGCTTCGTGAGCGTACCGACAAGGCCTGCAATGTCTATGAGAAGATGGAGGCTGAGTTGGTTGTGCAGCGGAGCCGAATTCAGACCCTCACGAATGAGCTCAAGCAGGCGGAAGAGGCGCACACGGCCCTGGTGGAGCAGCTTCACAAAGAAGTCGCACCTCCTTCGGCCCCAGGCCCGCCTCCTGCCGCTTGTTTGGACATTGCGGCCATCATCCAGGGCAAGGCTGAGGAGATCCCGATTTCGATCGATTCACTGCTGGCACCTCAGCATGACTACGAGATTGCGGGTGACGACCTCGAGGAGGCAAATCGCAGGGCGCAGGAGCTCAAGCAGTCTCTTCAGGATGCAGTTCGTAAGTTGTTTGGAGATGCGCTGGTCAGGGCCAAAGCCTTCCAGGCAGACCAGAAGAAGATGCTCGAGAGGCTCGCCGCCAAGAGGAGGCGCCAAGACGGAGACGAAGCAGCAGAGCCAGCCGCGGGAGACGGGGATCCCGTTCCTCCTGCCGCCGCCGCCGCCGCGGGGGGCGACAGCGGGGCTGCTGCTGGGGCAGCCTCCTCTGCCCCCCAGGCCGAGGCTCCAGGGGACAGCGCTGCGGCAGATCCTGATCGTGCAGATGCTCGAGCTCGTGCTGAACGCCTGCTGTCACAGGCTTCCCCCCCCGCAGCCGAGGGGCAGCGGGGGGGCACTGCGACAGCCTGAACATTTCCGCCCGAGCCACCCCGACGGTCTTGGGCCTGTTATTGCGGGCCAGCCGTCTTACTTGTCTAACTTTAGTCTCTCGGCCTCTCGGCCTCACCTCCGTCGTTTCCTCCGCTCCCGTGGTGCGTGTCCCTCAGGCTGTGGCCTGAAGGCTGCTGTCCGTCACACTCGCTGGAGGGCCAAACGAATTTTGTCTGGTGATGGTCAGAGGTTCGACTCCCTGCAGGTTACCCTTTCCAAGCCTGCCGATTTTGCTCGGCCTAGCCCAGCTTACCCAGTGTTGGCTGCGCCTGGCTCTCAGTACCCGATTG